AGTATCAAAAACGTGTTAAAATAAAGACAATCCTGTCTCTAAAGTTGAAGTTGTGAGTAATTTGTTGTCGTTACAGGAAAATCCACATGAAGCGTCTCTTGACAACAGTCAGGTTGGGTCTGCTTCCTGTTCCGGTTTTTGAAGGAAAGGTCAAAAGTCATCGACTGATCAAAAACAACAACGAAGTGAAGCAGCTAATAAGCGACACGGAAGCTTTCTTGGCGGGTATGTCGATTCTCAGGCAGCCGTAAATTGATGGTAAATAAGATCTAAGTGGGCGGAACTCAGCATCGGAGGAAACGTAGCAAAATAGGGACAACATGTAGCCTATTTTCAAACATGATGGAGAGAGAGAGAGAGAGAGAGAGAGAGAGAGAGAGAGAGAGAGAGAGAGAGAGAGAGAGAGAGAGAGAGACTGGCGAGCTAATAACATGATACACGAGGGATGACTAAAAAAAAATTTTTTTTTACATATAACTTGAAAGGTCAAGAAAAGAAAAGATAAATAACGAATTAATTGACTCAATACTTGTCACTGATGGGTATCGCCTTACTAACATATCGATCCGACCCACTCGTGCTCCGTCATCAGAAGCAGCGGCCATCTCAGCGCCTCCATGCATACATATTATGTTAGGGGGTGGGGTGAGGGGGAGGGGGTAAGTATGGGAATTAAACAAGAAAATGTTAAATGTTTTTATTTTGTTTGTTCCAGAGCTGGACAAGTCGGAGGAGCCGGACTTTGACATGTCACTTCCGTTCGCACGGCCGCGAGTGCCCCATGAGATCTTGTTTGTCATTGGTGGATGGAGCGGCGGTCGTCCAATCAAAATGGTGGAAACATACGATACACGCGCTGACAGATGGGTGGTTTGTAAGGCTGAGGATAGTAGTGAGTGTCTGAGTGCAGTGTTTGGGGGGTAGTGTCTGGAGGCAGTGTTTGGGGGGCAGTGTCTGGAGGCAGTGTTTGGGGGGCAGTGTCTGAGTGCAGTGTTTGGGGGGTAGTGTCTGGAGGCATGGAGGCAGAGTGTGGAGGCAGAGTCTGAGGGTAGTGTCTGAGGGCAGTGTCTGGAGGCAGTGTCTGAGGGCAGTGTCTGAGGGCAGTGTCTTAGAGCAGTGTCTGGAGGCAGTGTCTGGAGGCAGAGTGGGGAGGCAGTGTCTGAGGGCAGTGTCTGGGGGCAGTGTCTGGGGACAGTGTCTGGGGGCAGTGTCTGGGGGCAGTGTCTGGGGGCAGTGTCTGGGGGCAGTGTCTGGGGGCAGTGTCTGGGGCAGTGTCTGGGGACAGTGTCTGGGGGCAGTGTCTGGGGGCAGTGTCTGAGGGCAGTGTCTTAGAGCAGTGTCTGGGGACAGTGTCTGGGGACAGTGTCTGGGGCAGTGTCTGAGGACAGTGTCTTAGAGCAGTGTCTGGGGACAGTGTCTGGGGACAGTGGGGGCAGTGTCTGAGGGCAGTGTCTGGGGGCAGTGTCTGGAGGCAGTGTCTGGAGGCAGTGTCTGAGGGCAGTGTCTGGGGGCAGTGTCTGAGGGCAGTGTCTGAGGGCAGTGTCTGGGGGCAGTGTCTGAGGGCAGTGTCTGGAGGCAGTGTCTGGAGGCAGTGTCTGGAGGCAGTGTCTGGGGGCAGTGTCTGGAGGCAGTGTCTGGAGGCAGTGTCTGGGGGCAGTGTCTGGGGGCAGTGTCTGGGGGCAGTGTCTGGGGCAGTGTTTGCAGTGTCTGGGGGCAGTGTCTGAGGGCAGTGTCTGGAGGCAGTGTCTGGGGGCAGTGTCTGGGGGCAGTGTCTGGGGTAGGGCAGTGTCTGGGGCAGTGTCTGGGGGCAGTGTCTGGGGGCAGTGTCTGGAGGCAGTGTCTGGAGGCAGTGTCTGGAGGCAGTGTCTGGGGGCAGTGTCTGGGGGCAGTGTCTGGGGGCAGTGTCTGGAGGCAGTGTCTGGAGGGCAGTGTCTGAGGGCAGTGTCTGAGGGCAGTGTCTGGAGGCAGTGTCTGGGGCAGTGTCTGGAGGCAGGTCTGGGGCAGTGTCTGAGGGCAGTGGGCAGTGTCTGGAGGCAGTGTCTGGGGGCAGTGTCTGAGGGCAGTGTCTGGAGGCAGTGTCTGAGGGCAGTGTCTGGAGGCAGTGTCTGGGGGCAGTGTCTGAGGGCAGTGTCTGGAGGCAGTGTCTGGGGGCAGTGTCTGAGGGCAGTGTCTGGGGGCAGTGTCTGGAGGCAGTGTCTGGAGGCAGTGTCTGGGGGCAGTGTCTGGGGCAGTGTCTGGAGGCAGTGTCTGGAGGGCAGTGTCTGGAGGCAGTGTCTGGAGGCAGTGTCTGGGGGCAGTGTGTCTGGGGCAGTGTCTGGGGGCAGTGTCTGGGGCAGTGTCTGGGGTCTGCAGTGTCTGGGGGCAGTGTCTGAGGGCAGTGTCTGGAGGGCAGTGTCTGGGGGCAGTGTCTGGGGGCAGTGTCTGAGGGCAGTGTCTGGAGGGCAGTGTCTGGGGGCAGTGTCTGGGGGCAGTGTCTGGAGGCAGTGTCTGGAGGCAGTGTCTGGGGGCAGTGTCTGGAGGCAGTGTCTGGAGGCAGTGTCTGGAGGCAGTGTCTGGGGGCAGTGTCTGGGGGCAGTGTCTGAGGGCAGTGTCTGGAGGCAGTGTCTGGGGGCAGTGTCTGAGGGCAGTGTCTGGAGGCAGTGTCTGGGGGCAGTGTCTGGAGGCAGTGTCTGGGGGCAGTGTCTGAGGGCAGTGTGTGTCTGGAGGGCAGTGTCTGGGGGCAGTGTCTGGGGGCAGTGTCTGGGGGTAGTGTCTGGGGACAGTGTCTGTCTGAGGGCAGTGTCTGGTGTCTGCAGTGTCTGGGGGCAGTGTCTGGAGGCAGTGTCTGGGGGCAGTGTCTGAGGGCAGTGTCTGGGGGCAGTGTCTGGGGGCAGTGTCTGGGGGCAGTGTCTGGAGGCAGTGTCTGGGGGCAGTGTCTGGGGGCACAGTGTCTGGAGGCAGTGTCTGAGGACAGTGTCTGTCTGTCTGGAGGCAGTGTCTGAGGGACAGTGTCTGGGGGCAGTGTCTGAGGGCAGTGTCTGGGGGTGTCTGGGGGCAGTGTCTGTCTGGAGGCAGTGTCTGAGGGCAGTGTCTTGTCTGAGAGCAGTGTCTGGGGACAGTGTCTGGGGACAGTGTCTTAGAGCAGTGTCTGAGGACAGTGTCTGGAGGCAGTGTCTGGGGGCAGTGTCTGGGGGCAGTGTCTGGGGGCAGTGTCTGAGGGCAGTGTCTGGGGGCAGTGTCTGAGGGCAGTGTCTGGAGGCAGTGTCTGGGGGGCAGTGTCTGGGGGCAGTGTCTCTGAGGGGACAGTGTCTGGAGGGTAGGTCTGAGGGCAGTGTCTGAGGGCAGTGTCTGTAGGCAGTGTCTGGGGGGGGCAGTGTCTGGGGGCAGTGTCTGGGGGACAGTGTCTGGGGGCAGTGTCTGGGGGCAGTGTCTGGGGACAGTGTCTGGGGACAGTGTCTGGGGGCAGTGTCTGAGGGCAGTGTCTGGAGGCAGTGTCTGGGGGCAGTGTCTGGGGGCAGTGTCTGGGGACAGTGTCTGGGGGCAGTGTCTGGGGGCAGTGTCTGGGGGCAGTGTCTGGGGGCAGTGTCTGGGGGCAGTGTCTGGGGGCAGTGTCTGAGGGCAGTGTCTGGGGGCAGTGTCTGGGGAAAGTGTCTGAGGGCAGTGTCTGGAGGCAGTGTCTGGAGGCAGTGTCTGGAGGCAGTGTCTGGGGGCAGTGTCTGGAGGCAGTGTTTGAGGGCAGTGTCTGGATGCAGTGTCTGGGGGCAGTGTCTGGAGGCAGTGTCTGAGGGCAGTGTCTGGAGGCAGTTTCTGAGGACAGTGTCTGGGGGCAGTGTCTGAGGGCAGTGTCTGGAGGCAGTGTCTGAGGACAGTGTCTGGGGGCAGTGTCTGGGGGCAGTGTCTGGGGGCAGTGTCTGGGGGCAGTGTCTGGAGGCAGTGTCTGAGGACAGTGTCTGGGGCAGTGTCTGGAGTGTCTGAGGGCAGTGTCTGGAGGCAGTGTCTGAGGGCAGTGTCTGGAGGCAGTGTCTGAGGGCAGTGTCTGGAGGCAGTGTCTGAGGGCAGTGTCTGGAGGCAGTGTCTGGGGGCAGTGTCTGGGGGCAGTGTCTGGAGGCAGTGTCTGGGGGCAGTGTCTGGAGCAGTGTCTGGGGGCAGTGTCTGGGGGCAGTGTCTGGAGGCAGTGTCTGGAGGCAGTGTCTGGGGGCAGTGTCTGGGGGCAGTGTCTGAGGGCAGTGTCTGGGGCAGGTCTGAGGGCAGTGTCTGGGGCAGTGTCAGGTGTCTGGGGGCAGTGTCTGGGGGCAGTGTCTGGGGGCAGTGTCTGGGGGCAGTGTCTGGGGGCAGTGTCTGAGGGCAGTGTCTGGAGGCAGTGTCTGAGGGCAGTGTCTGAGGGCAGTGTCTGGGGCAGTGTCTGGAGGGCAGTGTCTGGAGGCAGTGTCTGGGGGCAGTGTCTGGAGGCAGTGTCTGGAGGCAGTGTCTGGAGGCAGTGTCTGGGGGCAGTGTCTGGAGGCAGTGTCTGAGGGCAGTGTCTGGAGGCAGTGTCTGAGGGCAGTGTCTGAGGGCAGTGTCTGAGGGCAGTGTCTGGAGGCAGTGTCTGAGGGCAGTGTCTGGAGGCAGTGTCTGGGGGCAGTGTCTGGGGGCAGTGTCTGGGGGCAGTGTCTGGAGGGCAGTGTCTGAGGGCAGTGTCTGGGGGGCAGTGTCTGAGGGCAGTGTCTGAGGGCAGTGTCTGAGGGCAGTGTCTGGGGGCAGTGTCTGGGGGCAGTGTCTGGAGGCAGTGTCTGGGGGCAGTGTCTGGGGGCAGTGTCTGGAGGGCAGTGTCTGGGGGCAGTGTCTGGGGACAGTGTCTTAGAGGCAGTGTCTGGGGCAGTGTCTGGGGGCAGTGTCTGGGGGCAGTGTCTTGAGGGCAGTGTCTGGGGGCAGTGTCTGGGGGCAGTGTCTGTCTGAGGGCAGTGTCTGAGGGCAGTGTCTGAGGGCAGTGTCTGGAGGGCAGTGTCTGAGGGCAGTGTCTGGAGGGTCAGTGTCTGGGGGCAGTGTCTGGGGGCAGTGTCTGGGAGGTCTGGAGTGTCTGAGGGCAGTGTCTGGAGGCAGTGTCTGGGGGCAGTGTCTGGGGGCAGTGTCTGGGGGCAGTGTCTGGGGCAGTGTCTGGGGGCAGTGTCTGAGGGCAGTGTGTCTGAGGGCAGTGTCTGAGGCAGTGTCTGAGGGCAGTGTCTGGGGGCAGTGTCTGGGGGCAGTGTCTGGGGGCAGTGTCTGAGGGCAGTGTCTGGAGGCAGTGTCTGGGGTAGTGTCAGTGGGCAGTGGGGAGGGCAGTGTCTGAGGGCAGTGTCTGGGGCAGTGTCTGGGGGCAGTGTCTGGGGGCAGTGTCTGGGGGCAGTGTCTGGGGGCAGTGTCTGGGGGCAGTGTCTGGAGGCAGTGTCTGGGGGCAGTGTCTGGAGGCAGTGTCTGGGGGCAGTGTCTGGAGGCAGTGTCTGGGGGCAGTGTCTGGGGGCAGTGTCTGGGGGCAGTGTCTGGGGGCAGTGTCTGGAGGCAGTGTCTGGAGGCAGTGTCTGGAGGCAGTGTCTGGAGGCAGTGTCTGGAGGCAGTGTCTGGAGGGCAGTGTCTGGAGGGCAGTGTCTGGAGGCAGTGTCTGGAGGCAGTGTCTGAGGGCAGTGTCTGGGGGCAGTGTCTGGAGGCAGTGTCTGGAGGCAGTGTCTGGGGGCAGTGTCTGGGGGCAGTGTCTGGAGGCAGTGTCTGAGGGCAGTGTCTGGAGGCAGTGTCTGGAGGCAGTGTCTGGAGGCAGTGTCTGGGGGCAGTGTCTGGAGGCAGTGTCTGGAGGCAGTGTCTGAGGGCAGTGTCTGGGGGCAGTGTCTGGAGGCAGTGTCTGGGGGCAGTGTCTGGGGGCAGTGTCTGGGGGCAGTGTCTGGGGGCAGTGTCTGGGGGCAGTGTCTGGGGGCAGTGTCTGGGGGCAGTGTCTGGGGGCAGTGTCTGGAGGGCAGTGTCTGGGGGCAGTGTCTGGGGGCAGTGTCTGAGGGCAGTGTCTGAGGGCAGTGTCTGGAGGCAGTGTCTGAGGGCAGTGTCTGAGGGCAGTGTCTGAGGGCAGTGTCTGGGGCAGTGTCTGGAGGCAGTGTCTGAGGGCAGTGTCTGAGGGCAGTGTCTGGGGGCAGTGTCTGGGGGCAGTGTCTGGGGGCAGTGTCTGGGGGCAATGTCTGGGGGCAGTGTCTGAGGGCAGTGTCTGGAGGTAGTGTCTGGGGACAGTGTCTGAGGGCAGTGTCTGAGGGCAGTGTCTGAGGGCAGTGTCTGGAGGGCAGTGTCTGAGGGTAGTGTCTGAGGGCAGTGTCTGAGGGTAGTGTCTGGAGGCAGTGTCTGAGGGTAGTGTCTGGGGGCAGTGTCTGGGGGCAGTGTCTGAGGGCAGTGTCTGAGGGCAGTGTCTGGGGGCAGTGTCTGGAGGCAGTGTCTGGGGGCAGTGTCTGAGGGCAGTGTCTGAGGGCAGTGTCTGAGGGCAGTGTCTGGAGGCAGTGTCTGGGGGCAGTGTCTGAGGGCAGTGTCTGGGGGCAGTGTCTGGAGGCAGTGTTTGGTGGTAGTGTCTTAGGGCAGTGTTTGGGGGCAGTGTTTGGGGGCAATGTCTGGAGGTAGTGTTTGGGGGCAGTGTCTGGAGGCAGTGTTTGGTGGTAGTGTCTTAGGGCAGTGTTTGAGGGCAGTTTCTGGGGGCAGTGTTTGGGGGCAGTGTTTGGGGGCAATGTCTGGAGGCAGTGTTTGGGGGCAATGTCTGGAGGCAGTGTTTGGTGGTAGTGTCTTAGGGCAGTGTTTGAGGGCAGTTTCTGGGGGCAGTGCATGAGGACAGTGTCTGGGGCAGTGTCTGGGGGCGGGCTCTTGGGGCAGTGTCTGAGGGAAGTATCTCACCATAGGTGCCGGAACCTGGGAGGCTCAGGCACCGTGATACCTGTTCTCCACTGGGGGGGGGGGGGGTTAACCCCTCAATAATTTGTAGGCGTCCCCAATCCCTCGCCCACAAACATTTACAATGGGGTTAAGGATGGAAATAAATATGAGAACGCCAGCAGGTTATCCGTGTTTTTGGCCTTCTTATAGAGCAAGAGTGTTGCGTGCACGGTCAATGCACTGATGACGGTCTTCGACGGTAAGTTTTGACGGAAGTCTGCGCAGATCCCATGGGAAAGAATTTCACTCCTTGGCTTGTTCCAACAATGAACAAGCAAAAAGCAATAGAGACCATTACTGGAATACTGTTAAAAGCTAGTTGCTGTTCCTTTACAGTCAGGGTGTTGCAGAACCACGCCCAGCATTTGATGGCTGGCTGGTTTTACTAGGCAACAATTCTTTTTTTTTTTTTACGTTCAGAGGTTTGCCACTGTTGAATGAACGGTCGGATCTCGATCCTACTGTCGTAATTAATACTAGACGGTCTGAGATGTGGTCAGTCAGCAAAATATACAATAACTGTTGTGATGTTTCTGCAGCGCCCAGAGCTTACCACGGTGTGGTGGCCATCGATTGTCTCATCTACGTCATTGGCGGGTTTGATGCTACTGAGTGCTTTAACAGTTGCCGCGTCTTTGACGCCAGGACCAAAATCTGGTCGGAGATTGCGCCTATGAACATCAAGAGGTGCCATGTTGCGTCAATGACTCCATTTTGTATACAATATGGCTATATGTTGTGTACATTGTTCAGTATTGTATTCGATATAATCTTTGTTCTTGCGTGAATTGTTCAGTTTTGTATTCCTTCTTCTTTTTCATTGTTCACAAGCTGTCAGTTCCTGTGTAAAGTCATAGTTGTTCGTCTATTTTGGCTTTGTGAAAGGGCCTGAGTTTTACGTGTACATCCGTTTTACTGGTTGATTTGTGTGCAGTTGGTTGTTCCTTGCCGCTCCAACAGATGCACTCCGACTTCGAATGAAGCTTATAATTAGTCTACTCGTACGACATGCTTGTTGGGGAGGCAGTGGGTAGGTCTATTCTTGTTCCCCCCCCCCCTCCTTTTTTTTTTTTAAATCCCTTTACACTGGGAAGGGGAGGGGGGTGTGATTTGTTCGCTGTTGATTTCGATATAGTTCTAAGTTGTGTGAATGGTTCAATGTTGTGTTCACTATAACTATATGCTGTGGGAATGATTCAATATGGCTTATGTTGTATAAATGATGCTCTATGGCTAAATTTTATGTGGGTAATTATCTATGGTTTTATGTGGGTAATTATCTATGGTTTTATGTGGGTAATTATCTATGGTTTTATGTTGTGTGGAGGTTCAATATTGTGTTAAAATGGGTATGTGTGGTTCTCAGTGCTACATGTGTCTCATTTCCACTATTTCTTTCCCTTGTCTTTTACTCGCCATCTCTGTCTCACGGAGCACTCTCACTGCCTATCTCCCTCTCTCTTCTCTAATCGCCTCTCTCTCTCTCTCTCCTCTCTCTTCTCTAATCGCCTCTCTCTCACCCTCTCTCTTCTCTAATCGCCTCTCTCTCTCCCCCTCTCTCTTCTCTAATCGCCCCTCTCTCTCTCTCTTTCCCTCTCTCTTCTCTAATCGCCTCTCTCTCTCTCTCTCTCGCTCCTCTTTGTTCCTCCCTTCTCCATCTAACACCTCTCTTCCCTCATCTTTCCTATTTTTATTACTATCGGACCCACACACTGATAACTTTAGGGCCATGCACTTTGACTAGAACGAGTTGATATAAAAATTGCTTTGTTTTTTCTTAAAATAGATACCATAAATGATAACAGGTAGCGTAAATGTTAACAGGTACCGTAAATGTTAACATATACCGTAAACGTTAACAGATACCGTAAATGTTAACAGGTACCGTAAATGTTAACAGGTACAGTAAATGTTAACAGGTACCGTAAATGTTAACAGGTACCGTAAATGTTAACAGGTACCGTAAATGTTAACAGGTACCGTAAATGTTAACAGGTACCGTAAATGTTAACAGGTACCGTAATCGTTAACAGATACCGTAAATGTTAACTTAAAAAACACGTCCTAACAATAAACGAATAGATGTATTTGGCTGGAGCCAAACCCGTGTTCTTGTTAACCGAGAGTTCGTCTTAAGAGAGCTCGTTAACGATGTGTGCTTTAGCTAATACACAGGGGCGCCGTAAGCTGGGAGCTGAGGTAACCTAAGGACACCGGCCAACTCCCCCCTCGGCAGCCCGAAAAAAATGTGCGTATACTTGAACTGAGCTTGTTGCTGCCACACTCTGGAAATTAAATTTCAAATAGGGCTATACCCCCCCCCCCCCCAAACCCCCAAGCCCAGCACCTCATACGCACTCTCCCACCCACCCAAACATAGAAGTCATCATTTTAATTAATTGTTTTAAAATTCTGCATTTTTTCCAGGAGCATTATTATATTATTAAATATATTTTCCATCCTTCACGTAGTGTTCAATTATCACAAGTGATAAGCATCTATCTTTCTTTCATCCATCATGAAACTGTATTTAAATGTCTGTGAGTCCGGGGTAACTTCTAGGCCCAGTATAAGCCCGTAAGTATGTAGGTAAGTTGTACCCCACCAGGACATCACACAAGCGATAAACACCCAGTCATACAAAGTGCCACCATGTGGATGAAGATCACCCGTGGAGAGGTCCCAGAAACCCCGTTCAGCCGTTATGGTCACAATTGTGGCCCAGCTATATTTAGGGCCCCCGGCAAAAGCCAGGGTGGGGCTTCATTAAAAAGGAAAAATTGCATCCCACAAGGGGCCGAATGACTATATGATATATGAGTCTGGAGGAATCTAGGACACTGACGGCTGAAAACAGCACACCCGTCATAGAGTAATAATTATTATTGTCGCACATTTAAACAAGGCTTAGGTTTCTTGAGTCCTGCTTCCTAGAAAATGTATACGGAGGCAGGGGAGCCCCAGCTCCTTATGGTTTTTTTAAATTCCCCATCCCCTCCCCGACCACAACCATCCATTGTATACCACTGACGTGGTAAGAATACGCGAATTGGGATTAAAGATCGGCACAGCCTAGCATGAGAAGCACACCGGACGCATACGAAGTCTTGTTACCCAACATGGAACTGGTACTATTAACCACACGACGCTGATGAATATGTTAAGAGGGTAATCTGAGCGCCTATGGATGTGTCCGGAGTGCTGTGAAGATCTAACTCATTAACTCAAAACCAATGACGTGTTTGTTGTTCATTGATCAAGGGTATCTTTACTCCCATACAGGTCTTACGTCAGCGTCGCCCTCCTAGACGGGTTGATCTACGCCATGGGTGGGTTTGAGGGACCCCCAAGGACCCCGAGCGGGGTCATCTCCTCACCGCGGCTTCGTTCGGTGGAAAGGTTCAACCCCAAAGCCAACCAGTGGACCCTGATCGCCAACATGAGAGAGCGGCGGAGCGATGCCAGCGCCACCACCTTCCAAGGTCCGGATTTAGTCGCATGAATTAGATAAGTCAATTAATCTAGTCCGGTGTTTCTCCAAATAGGGCGCTGGGACGATCCAGGGGGCGGTAGCTGCCTCGGACGACTTTGGAGGAGGGGTGCTGGCGAAAAGAGGCAGTTTTGGGGGGGGGGGGGGGATCCCATATATTTGTTATTGCACCTTTCTGTCAAATTACCATAAGGTATATTTTTAGGAATGTAACAGACTCGAGAATCCAGTTATAGATGGCACAATAATCATCATGTAGCTGGTTCTTTGCGGAACGTGGCTCTCATCACGGTCTGCCTCAAAGGAACTCAGTCTCTCGCCAGCTCTTCCGTCTCGTGCACTTTCATATTTAAACAGTCAGTTATATCCTGTGCCATCGTCGTGTTGGTCGGTCCCTGCTCTTCTTCCTGCTATCATGCCTTTTGCTTTTTTTTTAAATACAATCCGCCATGGCGCTTGATATGAACAAAATAGTTCAGCTTCCGAGAGAAGATGCTGTTTATTAGCACATTTTCCTGGATGTTCAGATCTTTTAGAACGTCAGTATTTTCTCAGATGAGTTTCTTGGCTAGGCCAATTTGATAGTTAGCCCTTGCGTTCCGCATCCACAAGCATTAGGCCATGTCCTTAACGTTCAACAAGCTTCAGTCTTCTGCACTGTTCTGTGATGCTCCACTTAACAGCGGAGAGCACCTCAGAGGTGTCCACTTACCCCGGTAGATACTCGGTCCCCATAGCTGCGTTGGCCACACCGTCATGAGTTTACCATCATCTACCTCGCGGAGTTGCAGTTGGGGTTCTCCCTTCGCCGAGTCTTGAGACCAGAATGGCATTTACTCGAAACTCTCCAGTACTTTTTTTTTTATGGCTTAGTATTGTGAGCAAAGGCGTTGGGAGTCCAACTCGTAAGCCAGCATACCGCGATCGAAACCTACTGCAGGCTGCGTGGATTTTTCTCGTGGTATGGGACGTCGCAGGTCGACCCAGCCTAAAATGGGTACCAGGATAGGCTGTCCTGGGAAAGTAAAGACAGCCGGCGTAATGCTGACCACATTACCCACAGAGTGCTGATGGTCTGTAAAAATATGGGACGCTCTGCCCATATGCCCGATGCGCCGAAAGGCGTGAAAATGGAACTTTACTTTTTTTTTTTACTTTTATTGTATTATATTCCCAACTAATGTTGAATGTTTAATTAGGAATCGACAGCACTTGTGACACTCGTTTAAGCGCTCCGTCCCTATCTTCAGCAACCAACGCAGAGTTCCAATTTCGATGGCACCAGTAACTATCTCTGATTGTATACCGTGTTCTTGTTAACCGAGAGTTCGTCTTGCCCCCCAAAGGATCGTCACAACATCTAGCTTGGCATACATCAATTCGTCACCACGTGGTGTAGAAACGGCCTATCTATATGCCTGCTCATTTCCAAACACACCGGCATGACTTGGAGAAAATATCCAAACTACCCCGGACCTTTGCACATAGCATGCCTGTAGATATATCCGTACTCTAATTTGTTGTTTCCCCGGCTCTAACATTGATGCTTCTGTCTTCCCCCGACTCTGCCGTGACCTTGATGTGTTGCCGTGACCTTGATGTGCTGCCGTGACCTTGATGTGCTGTCGTGACCTTGATGTGACAGTACAGGCGAGGTTTACATCTGTGGAGGTTTCAACGGCTCGGAGTGCCTCTGCTCTGCAGAAGTGTACAATCCACACACTGACCAGTGGACGCTGATACCGCCCATGTCCAGTCGCCGCAGCGGCGTCGGTGTCATCACGTACAATGGCGCTATCTACGCGGTTGGTAAGTCATTTAAACAAACGGTTAAAGTAACGTTAGTCTCCCCACGCCTCGTCCATATACACACTAGCTTTCTTCTGATTGGTAGTTCCTGAACCTTTCACCTTGGCCCAAGGTTACGGGGTTGTTCCGCAATGACGTTGATATCAAGTGTTGTATATTTCAGCACGCCAGCGCTTTTAACACTCCAAAAACTTGGAAAAACTGGCCCTAACAACCCGCATATGCATGTACCTACAGACCTACCTATATGTCCACAAACATCTGCTTACCTACACTAACCTACCTTCATATCTATCGGCACGTGCAGACATGACTAGAGACACGCCTGCATACACAATTACCTAGATACCGGTCACACACACACCGAACTATACATACCTTTTGATATTTGCTAACATGCTACCTATATGTGCATGACATAACATGCACATACACACACACCTGTCCATATCCCTAACTGTTTACCTGTGTGTGTGTGGCCAGGTGGCTTTGATGGAGTGACGCGCACCAACACGGCCGAGAAGTACTCACCCTCAGACCGGACGTGGACTAACATTCCTGACATGTACAACACCAGGAGTAACTTCGGTATTGAGGTATGTCTATCAGTCCGTCCGTCCGTCCTTCTGTTTGTCTGTCTGTCTGTTTGTATGTATGTCTTCAGTACGTACGTGTCTATATATCCCAGGCCAGAATAACAACACAATAAATTGGCTAAGAACGTAATACAAGTCTATATCCCACGATTGCCCACATTAAGATACCTTATACGGATCTTTTTTTATTGACTGATTAATTATGATTGGCACCTTTCCGTCTTTCCGGACGACAGTGTTTGTTATATTGCGCTATGAAGAGGCATGGGACTCACAGCCCATAGCGATGGCGAGTGTGACTAGCAAGACCCGCCCGTATTAAGAAAAGTCGTGTACATTTATAGCACGGGATTTCAGGACCTCTGTTGTCAACATTTGTGTTTAGTCTATTTCTTCTCAGACGTTCAGCTCTCATCCTTTCTGTAATCATTTCTTCCTTCATTCACCTTATTTACCTTATTTTATTACCACTCCGTAAACGCCTACTTTTCGGTAAGGCTTTACTTTGTTGTCAACAAAAACCCATCCCAAAATGATTACCTCTTTGGCCGTTTACATTTAATGGACGTCACAGCAAACGTTTCACGTTCATTGTTTTGTTAGTTCAACTGAAGTAAGAGAATTGAGCAAACAATAAATGTAGCCAAATACTTATAGACTGATAAAAATAGTAGTAGTAGTAGATAAACACCAGGTGACACAAGGTGCCACCATGTGGATGAGGATCACAGTGGAGAGGTCCCAGAAACCGCGTTCAGCCATTAGACCATATTTATGGTCGGGCTATTTTGCGGTCCCTGACAAGAGCCAGGGTAGGGCTTCAAAATAGAGAAAAATTGCATCTAACAAGGAGGTAACAGGCTTCAAAACTGATAAAAATAGAGGGAGCCGACGGTCAAAGGCACGAAGATTTCTTCGACATTTTGTTCTTTCTTTGATTCTTCTTCGTCCCTATTATTTTTTTTTTTTAAATTAAGGGCTGCGATATATACCACGACTCAGGTCCATAGGTTTCTTACTGCATAGAAGGTGTTTGTCTCCACTTTGTGACTTTGATTTCCTTGCAGGAGTTTAAACTATTGAATGTTAATGCTGTTTAATATTTTCATTGCTATGGCGATCATCCTTTTCACTTCTATTGAACAGGCTTCATTGTTGTTTATTATGGAGCCTAGATGTTCAAAGCGTGTGACATTTTTGATTTCCTAATAATTTTTTGTTTCAACTTATATTTAATTCAACATGTTTGATGTCTCTTTGACTCCGCTCAAGTATCTTTTCCCGTGTACCCATTCTTGCCATGAATCCTATTGTCCGCATTTGGTATTCCCGCCCTTTGCCCATGTATGCCATGACACGATTGTCTCCCTTGATTCCCACAGGTAATCGACGAAATGTTGTTTGTCATTGGCGGCTTCAATGGGGAGACAACCATTTACAACGTGGAGTGTTACGACACGCAGTCCAACGAGTGGTAAGCATTACTGCATTGCTGCATAGAACGACTAAAATCATTGCCAGTAAACTATACACATTTTTTTTTAAAAGCCAGTGTATGTGCAGAATTGAAGGATTTAAATTTTAAGGCACAATCACTAATGGGAGAACTAAACAAAGACGTTCTGGTTAAAAGTCGGTTAGGACTCACCTAAAAGAAACAGTATTCCACGACTGCTAATCTTGTCATCCCTTTCAGTGATGTAATTTTTCGTTATTTGAAGCCCTACTCTGGCTCTTGTCAGTGGCTGCAATATAGCCCGGCCATAAATATAGTCTAATGGCTGAACGCGGTTTCCTTGGACCTCTCCACTGGTGATCCTCATCCACACAGTGGCACTTTGTGTCATCGGGTGTTTATCGCTTGTGTGATGCCTTAGTGGGGTAAAAGTACTACTACTACCTTAAAGCCCCGTTCAGGTACCGTCACTAGTCAGTCATAGACCTCTATGAAAGACTTGTCAGTATGTGGTAGAGGCAGATAGTCTGGCTTATACTACGTGTGATTCTATTGATCCCAGTGTGGGTTCCAGTGACCCATTGTGGGGGTGGGGGATAGACCCACTGCCTCTCCAGAAAGCACTTCACTGGAGCTGACTAACCGGGAGCATCCTTCGAAGTCAGAGTACTTCTGCCTGAGAGGCATGGAACCATGAGTCTGCATACAAATAAGGTACATGTGTGAAACGGATGTGTACGCAAACTCAGATTCTGGAACAAGACTAAAGTCCTAAGGTGGACAAACACCTAGAGCTTTCTATCGGAGTTTACAGCCGGTGAGCACGAAGAAGATTCTATTGTACGAGTCGCCATGTAATTGACACCATCATCTGTAAAAGATGTAATATGTGATGTGAAACAGGGCTACGACTAGCTACAGGTACAGGCATCATCTTTCTGATGTGCAAAATGGTGCCCTCAAACCAGTGCCGGTGCATTTCAGTGCTCAGGGTCACTAAGGTGTCCTTGCTCTGTAGGGCTACGGCCATCCACAAGTCTCTCGAGAACTCCTTTATCAATCTAATGAACTCCAATTCGCCTAATGGACGTAATGCCCAACATAGTTTGTTTTAGTTATGGTCCTTGCCTATTAAACCTTTTTTCTGGAGGACATTCACATATGTCTCCGAGCTTCAACTGGTCAGACACACATGTAGATTTTTCTTGGTGAGACCTCCTCAGGTTAAGTGATTTTGTGTATTATTGTTGGTTTGGGTTGTGGTTAGGATTTTTGTCAGCCCCGTCTCCTCATAGACATAATAACCCTACCCTTACCCAGAACACCCCTAGAATATTGCACTTTCCCGTGAACTCAGTAATTTCATTTTTTTTTGTTCTTTTTGGTGGTGACTTAAAAATAAATTCCGAACTATTTTTTTTTCAATCCTAAAAAAAAAATATTATTGGGGAGTGGTGGTGGTGGTGATCGAACATCTTTTACAGCTACTGTAGCAAACGGACACTGTGCTATTGTGACTGTCTAACTTTGGCAAAACAAAAATCTCTGACAAAATGTTATGTAGCCCTTGGCTTCCTCGCTCCGCTTCCAGGTACAACGCCACCGACATGAACCTCTACAAAAGCGCCCTCAGTGCCTGCGTGGTCCGGGATCTCCCTGACGTCAGGGACTATGTCTACAAGAAGGCAGAACTGCCCCGGAAGCTCCCGCTGCAGCAGGTACCCACACAGCAGACGGACTCCCAGGCAGCAGCTTCTGTTTCCGTTATAGGGGCCACAACTGCAAGCGTTGGCAGCAACACCCAGGGAATGCCATTGTCGAACTTAAGTGCATCTACATTGCCAGTCTCCTTGCCATCAGTTCCTTCTCCATTTTCATCTTAAAACAGGGAGTTGGAACCTGTCTTTTAAAATTAAGGCAAAAGAAAATGTTTTATTTACAATGTTTACAAATTTTTGTGTGCTAAAAAAGCTAACTGTGTTTAGCCACAATGTTTGAAAAAATGTGTCACTTTGAAGTACAAGAATAAAAACCTATATTCGCTATGTCATTGTTGTTATTACTAATATTTACTTCTTCGTTTTGTCTTCAATGGTGAATTCTTTTTTTTTTTAAATCTTTTTTTTTATGTCTGCCTTTAAAGGGGAGGGGGATTTGTGGTTTACAGCCAGGCTGTGATATCTGCACTTTCGGACCAGGACATCAGATTTCAGCCAGGTTTTAGTTCCCTTTACGACTTGCTACTTTGGCGGCAGTAAGTCTCTTCTTCTTCCCATTACAATGGGGTCCCAGAAATCATACATGGATAATGAAATGTGAGTTTAAGCACCGGGTCCCAGAAATCATACATGGATAATGAAATGTGAGTATTAGCATTGGGTCCCAGAAATCATGCATGGATAATGAAATGTGAGTATTAGCACTGGGTCCCAGAAATCATACATGGATAATGAAATGTGAGTATTAGCAATGGGTCCCAGAAATCATACATGGATAATGAAATGTGAGTATTAGCACTGGGTCCCAGAAATCATACATGGATAATGAAATGTGAGTATTAGCATTGGGTCCCAGAAATCATGCATGGATAATGAAATGTGAGTATTAGCACTGGGTCCCAGAAATCATACATGGATAATGAAACATGAGTATTAGCACTGGGTCCCAGAAATCATACATGGATAATGAAATGTGAGTATTAGCATTGGGTCCCAGAAATCATCCATGGATAATGAAATGTGAGTATTAGCATTGGGTCGCAGAAATCATACATGGATAATGAAATGTGAGTATTAGCACTGGGTCCCAGAAATCATACATGGATAATGAAATGTGAGTATTAGCACTGGGTCCCAGAAATCATACATGGATAATGAAATGTGAGTATTAGCATTGGGTCCCAGAAATCATACATGGATAATGAAACATGAGTATTAGCACTGGGTCCCAGAAATCATACATGGATAATGAAATGTGAGTATTAGCATTGGGTCCCAGAAATCATACATGGATAATGAAATGTGAGTATTAGCATTGGGTCGCAGAAATCATACATGGATAATGAAATGTGAGTATTAGCATTGGGTCGCAGAAATCATACATGGATAATGAAATGTGAGTATTAGCATTGGGTCCCAGAAATCATACATGGATAATGAAATGTGAGTGCACTGGGTCCCAGAAATCATACATGGATAATGAAATGTGAGTATTAGCATTGGGTCGCAGAAATCATACATGGATAATGAAATGTGAGTGCACTGGGTCTCAGAAATCATACATGGATAATGAAATGTGAGTATTAGCATTGGGTCGCAGAAATCATACATGGATAATGAAATGTGAGTATTAGCATTGGGTCGCAGAAATCATACATGGATAATGAAATGTGAGTGCACTGGGTCCCAGAAATCATACATGGATAATGAAATGTGAGTATTAGCATTGGGTCGCAGAAATCATACATGGATAATGAAATGTGAGTGCACTGGGTCCCAGAAATCATACATGGATAATGAAATGTGAGTATTAGCATTGGGTCGCAGAAATCATACATGGATAATGAAATGTGAGTGCACTGGGTCCCAGAAATCATCCATGGATAATGAAATGTGAGTATTAGCATTGGGTCGCAGAAATCATACATGGATAATGAAATGTGAGTATTAGCACTGGGTCCCAGAAATCATACATGGATAATGAAATGTGAGTATTAGCACTGGGTCCCAGAAATCATACATGGATAATGAAATGTGAGTATTAGCATTGGGTCCCAGAAATCATACATGGATAATGAAATGTGAGTATTAGCACTGGGTCCCAGAAATCATACATGGATAATGAAATGTGAGTATTAGCACTGGGTCCCAGAAATCATACATGGATAATGAAATGTGAGTATTAGCACTGGGTCCCAGAAATCATACATGGATAATGAAATGTGAGTATTAGCACTGGGTCCCAGAAATCATACATGGATAATGAAATGTGAGTATTAGCATTGTCAACAGTGGTGTCGTGTAAGCAAGGCTTTTTTTCCCTAGAAAAAAAGGTGAGGTACTTACTACAAAGTGTCTATTACAGTAGCAATAACATATACGCTTTAAAACAAAGAGACAGCGGAGAGTTGGAAAAAAAAAACCTTGCCTCTAAGACATCCTTATCTGTCCTGAATTTAGATCCACTCGCAGTGGGTCCCTACTAGTCTTTACTTGCACAAAACAACAGGTCACATCTGGCTAGTTTAACCATCATGACGGCCCTAAGTATAACTTATTGGCAACTATGAACCTCTTTTAACTACAGTTGAGGTTAGTTGCGTATCCTTTACAGGAAGTTGCAGAACCAACCCCAACAGTCCCTGGCTGGTGTGTGGTTTTTCTAGACAAATTTACGTCCAGTAGTTTGCCACTGCTTTCTGGACGGTCAGCTTTCGTGATACCACTGTCGAAACCAACGCAAGGCGCATGGCCCGGAGCTGGGATCAAACCCAGCATCCCGGCATTACGAAGCGTTTGCATCGACTTAGCCATAGAGATGACTTTTAACTACAGTGAGCAGGTGAAAAATGCAATGGTATGGACATGTAACAGGATCTAATGGCCCTTCAAAAACAATACTGCAGGGCTCAGTAGAGGGAAAGAGGAGAAGAGGCAGACAAAGAAAGACTTGGATACAGAACCTGACTGACAGGATAGGCCTCAGCCATGCAACCATGAAGTCCATCACAACTGACTGCCAAAGGTGGAGACAGCTGATCAGACAGTCAACAGAAACTGGTGACCCAACGACATGCAGTGTTACAGAATGATGATGAACTATAACTTCTCTGGAGATTGAACAGGGTATCAGGGATCTACTTTGTTGGTTTGCCATCCAGACTTAGATTTTCCCCCCAGCATTTCTCATATTTCTGTGTCTTTCTTTAATAAAGAATATTTAATGTTCAGCATTCGTTTTCCAACGAGTTTAACCTTTGTTCTGTATCATTTGTGGTTCTCCAGCTTTCACAGGCATCAGCTGAGACTGAAACAACGTTAGAATTGAAAATAAGAAACTTGGTTTTTCTCTCAGTTTGGTCTTCAAACTTTTTGTCCATAATTCTGTTTTTACTGACACCATATTTTTCTGTTTTTTTTTTTTTTTGGCTTCTCATAACGTGTCCATAAAAACTGATGAAAACAACACATGACTGAATTATCAGTGTGATTATTTAATAACTATAAGAAACAAAACAAACAACAGGGTTTCGTATAAAAAATATAAACATGGTGTTAAATTACTGCCTGTCTCAATCATCGCAGGAAACATCAAGTTATGGTCACCGACAACAAACAACAGCGAACATTCACAAGTGTTTATTTATCATACTTGGGACAGAAATAATACAATATATACATAAAAGGTTTGGCAGTAATAGTAACAGTGGCAGAAAAACTGTTTCCTTTAGCATCCTTATAGCAAAATCATCATCATCATCATCAGGTGCCTTGCCGACTGGCATGGGCGATCATGCCTCTCCATAATCTACGATCTCTTGCAGCATGTATCAGTTCGTGTGCCGACACACCTCCACGCCATGCAACAAGACTCAAGAATCTTCTCTCGTTGTCTTCCTCTATCCCTCCTTCCACAGATCTTTCCAGTGGTCACAGCAAAAGTATACACAATTTTAATGGTCAGTGAATATTTTTCATTGTTCATTAAAAAATCATCATCACACACGATAGACATGACCATAAGCGCTCCAATCTCCTCCTGAGTTTGTCTCCAAGTGTTTTTAGGCTAACAACTTCCATTCTGTTCGGACTGATGTAACAAAAGGTGGCTCCCGCATGGTTTTCCCACTGGTACACCCAGGGTATGCAGTCTATTCATTCAAAAATCATTTTCCACGAAACTGAAAGCCTCAGTAAATACGTAGCTGCAGATGACCAATTCATTTTTACTAGACTGCTGGTTTCTCGCCTCTCAGACAGATAGACTCTGACTTCAAAGAAGACACCCATAATTAGTCAACTCTTAGGACATGCATGTGGTTCTATTTTGTTCCTCACAATAGGATGCCAGAACCCACATGGGGGAAAATGCACACACATACACACAGATGCAGCAGGTAACAGATCCTATGCCAGTAATACAGCAGACGACTACACACCTGGGGGTTTCTGCTGTAGATGGAAGCCAGCTCAAAGAGTGTGAACACAAGGATGTACAAATCTTCCTATTCAATGAGTATGATCCGGAGGGTTCAGGCAGGTTCGGTGCGAAGACAATGGCTTGAATCATTACAGAAGTCTTCTGTGCGTGGTCACCTTTATATCTGTCCTGGGATACGCAGGCATCAATGGAAATGAAAAAACTGATAGGTTGGCTGGATCCGCTATCACTACCAACGGTCAGCCTATGGATCATGATGATATTATTAATGCCCTCACAGAAATGGGAAGGATAGAGGAATTTGGGGGCAGTGAATCCACATCACTCGCCAGAATGGTAGACTTGGGATTTAAGATCGGCACAGCAAAAAACGAGACGCACACCTGACACACCAGAAGATTTGTTAATCAACATAAACTGGTACTATTAGCATCGGACGTTGGAGTTCATACTGAGGGGAGGATCTGAGCACCTATGGACATGTCCGGAGTAAATGATGATAACCCAACTAACTAACAGATCTTTCTTCTTGCCGTGGTGTCGGGCAATAGCTTTCAGAGGGGTGGATGTCCACGGCTAAGTAACCTGACACAACCCTGGGGTGTGGAAGATCAGCTTAGTTATCAATCTGTTATACAGCTTTGCTTTGAGAGTTTGGATATAGCTGCAAGAGAGGCAACTGCTCAGTCCTGTTAACCCACTGACCACCAAGCCCGTTACCCCT